CCCACGCTTGGTGGGAATGCGAACGGATTGCAGAATTCTGGGAGGACATAAAACAAATGGTACACAAAATCATAGGTATTGAAATCCCACTGAATCCTGAGAATCTCTTTCTCAAACATTGGCCACCTCACATTGAGAAGCATACTCACAAGCAGACCTTGGATGTGATGATATACGCTGCTCGAACAGCAATCGCTACTTGCTGGAAAGAGCCAAATCCCCCAAAAAAGAGTTTATGGTACCAAAAGATGTGGGACCATTTTCTTATGGACTCTGTGACCAACAAATTGAACAGGATAACGCAGTACCCAATAGATAAACCTATAATGGATAAATGGAACCCTATACTAGAATTTTTAGCTTCAGAAGATTTCTTGCCCTCTTCCTGGCAGCAATTCCAGAGGTGGCTGTAAAGACTATTTCAACATGGAACACAACTCTATAGTGCATGTTATATCCTACACCTCCTATACAAATAAGCAATATAGACACAATGCAATTTCATATTGGCAAATACATAGATGAATACTGTAGTTCTCAAGACATACCAGAGCGAATTAAATGTTTCTGAAATGTGAAAAGCATAAATGTAGTTTTTCAGATTTTTTATGTTACACAAAATTATTGGAATATTGTTATTATTAAGGTATTTGACTTTTTTGTTACTTGTTTTACGATACAATAAAAAAAAATGCTATATTAACATTTACTGATGAACCTGTACCTTGGCTGTAGTTCCTTTCCAAACAAGAATAGGCCAGCACCCCCCTGATTACTCTTGTAGTGTCAAATCAAACACACTATCCTGTTTTTAGTGTTACTGATACAGGTTAGTTGTAGACAAAACTGCAACTCCAATAGAACAGGAATCCAGTGGCACCTTAACGTAACCTTATAACTCCAGTAGAAGTCCATCAATAAACTCCGGTTTGCCACAGAACTGTAAATCTTAATTACACTGTGCACGCAAAGTTGGGGTAAGGCAAAGAGAGGCATGAGCTTTAGGATCCTTCAAGTTTGTTCATATAACTAAAAAGCACAGTTTGTTGTTATATCTACCCGTACCATAAAGTGTCCTGGAAATGTTCATTAGATTGGCCACTGGTAACTCAGCCTTATAGTTCAGAATATTTAATGAAAATTATAGCTGTAAATTAAAAGCTATCAGTTTCATGAAGACAAATAAATGCAGCACATTACAGAATAAATGATTTTAAAGCTCTTTGCAGTGGGTAATTGGCTCATAAATATACTTTGTGGTCACCTCCTTTTCAAAATTACGTATTATATGCTTTTATTTATACACCTGTCTTATGGTTTTATCCATAATGTATTTTTTATTTGTCCTTTGTTATTCTTACAAAAATCAGGGTATTTTACTAATTCTGACTCATACATATATTTTGCACTACAAGAAAGATACTGAAATGTTTCAGGGGTTTTTTTCCCCTTCACATTTTTAAATTGTGTTTCCGGAAGAAAAAAAGATTTCCTAGTTTTGAGGTCTTGGTGGCAGGGAAATTAAATTAAAATCAAGTTTTTTAAAAAATCATAGCAAATAAATGAAATTAGAGGAGCAACAAATCTTAGTAAAAGGTGAAAAACTCATAATAAATGTACAGAACAGCATCTCCCTTATAAATAAATCCGAATGGT